CCCCCCCCGGCCCCTCTCCCCCGCGCTCGCCCCCGCGCTCGCCCCCTCTTCCCCCGCCACCCCACTCTGAGGGTCTGGGAGGGACCGGGCCTAGCCCGCGGGTGGTGTGGGAGGGACCGGGCCCAGGCCCAGGCCCAGCCTGTATGTACTATTTTCCAAGCTGAGGGTAAAGTAGGGTGGATGAGGTGGTTAGTGTCTAGCGTCAAGTTGGGGAGAAATAAAGGAATAAATCCAGTCTTCACAGTCTACTGCCTAGGCAGCGGGATGGGAAGTAAGTGGATTATCATCCAAGTTGGTGCAAGACGGAGGCCTTGGGGTGGGAAAGATCACCCTGAAGTTGTGGATGGGGAGTTTAGTATCCAGGCTGAGAGTTAGGTTGTTTAGGGTCAATGTCCAGTCTCTTGGCTCGGGCTGGGACTAGGATTGGTTAACGTCCAGGCTGTGGGTTGGGGGGGGTATTAACTTGGCCTTTCTTTCTCTGCAGATGCTGTCAGATCTGCTGAGTTTCTCCAGCACTTTATTTTTATTTAATTTTCCAGCATTGGCAGTATTTTGATTTTATTTCAGAGATAATGACATTGGGGCAATCCAGAGAAAGATATCTCAATTTTCCTAGGTATAGAGGGATTTTCTTATGAGGGAATACTGAGTAGGTTGGACCTGTACTCGTTAGAGTTCAGAAGAATGAGAGGTAATCTTATTGAATCATAAAAGAGTCATTCTGAGGGGTCTTGACAGGGTAGATGTGGCGAGGTTGTTTCACCTTGTGAGACAGTCTAGAATTAGATGTGATAATCTCAGAGTAAGGAGTCATCTATTTAAGACAGTGATGAGAGGACTTTCTCTTGAGGCTAGTGAATCTATCATGTTCTTTGCCACAGAGGGCTGTTGAGGCTGGGACACCAGGTATACGAATCAGTAAGGGAATTGAGGTTCATGTGGAAAAGGCAGCAAAGAAATCTTAAAAAGTCACGATGGGCAATTTTTTTACACAGTGGTGCATGTGTGGAATGAACATCCAGAGGAAATGGTGGATGCGGGTACAGTTACAACGTTTAAAAGACATTTGGATAAATACATGAATAAGAAATGTTTGGAGGGATATGGGTCAAGTGCAGGCAGCTGGGACTAGTTTAATTTGGGATTATGGTCGGTACGGATGGGTTGGACCAACGGGTCTGTTTCCATCCTGTATGACTGAGTTGAGGATTAACAGATCAACCATGATCTCATTGAATGGTGGTCTAGACTCAATGGGCAGAATGGCCTACTTCTGCCCTGATGTCACTCTGTCCTATGATTTTATGACCTTGGTGCATAGAATTGAGGGGCTTTAATATGGCACAAAGAGAGAATCTGTTGCCACTGGCAGGAATAATAGTAACTGGAGGATGTTGATTAAGGCAATTTGCAGAAGTAGTATGAAACAGTGAACCCACAAGTAATGATCTGGAATAAAAACAAAGTACCAGAAGACCTCAGCAGGTCTGACAGCATCTGTGGATAGAGGAACAGAGTTAACGTTTTGAGTCCTTTGACTTATGATCTTGGAATATGCTACCTGAAAGGAGTGAAAGTAAAGTCAATTGTGACCATCAAAGAGGCTATTATTAATTACTTGAACCAGAAAAAAATGCAAGTCGATGAGGAAAAGACCAAGAGAATGAAACAGCTTTTTCAAAAAACCGGTTCTGGGATGATGGGCCGACTGACCTTCTTCAGTGCTGCGTGTTTCTGTTCTTACAATATATTTTACCAGTTTAAGTATGAATAACGATAGTGAAATTAACAGGAAACATTTATTTGTGCACTGATCTGAACTTTTTTGCATAACCAGGATTGAAGATGGATTTGGAAAACAAATTGTTTGGACAACATGTTGCCAAGCAAGTTGTCTTGAAGGCAGTCAAAGGTTTCTTGATGAATCCAAACCCGAAAAAGCCCCTAACTCTGTCACTGCATGGCTGGACTGGGACAGGCAAAAATCTAATTAGTAAAATAATTGCAGAGAACATTTATAGAAATGGACTGGAGAGTAACTATGTTCATCAGTTTGTCTCCACTTTGCACTTCCCTCATCCCGAATATCTCAGCCAATATAAGGTAATATTTCAGTTTGATAAAACTGGTGTTTAGTTTGTTCCTTTAGCAGAATGTATTTTCCTGCACTCTGAACTGTGTTTTACATGGTTTCCATTTTTGTTCTTTGTCACTGTTTGTCAAAATTGTTTTATTCTCAGGTTCTTGATATCAGCTTTTATTCAATCTATTTTGGTCACACTTACATGCATCTCTCCATTATCTTAGTGTATTATGTTATGATCTCATTGTCTATATCTTCCCAGACTACTACTATTCTTATCTGCTCTGGCTCATTCCCCATTACTAGGTCCATGAGCAAATCTTCACTTAAATTGTATTTATACCATTGAATATTATAAAGTTATGTATTGCTTATTGTTGAAGCATTAACAGAAGTGAAATAATTCTGGGGTTATGTTGAAACTAACAGATAGCAATTCATTTAAGGGATTTGGCCATCACTGGGAGGACCAACATTTACTGCCTTTGAGAAGATCATGATGAGTCGCTTTGTTGAAACGCAACAGATTGTGTAGTTTAGGTGCCCCTGCGGTGGGTGAGATTCAGGATTTTGAAGAAATGCTAATATAGTTTACAAGTCAGGGTGGTGAGTGGCCTGGAGGGGAATTCGCAGATGGTGTTCCTACGCACCTGCTGCCCTTATCATCCTAAATTTACAGGTTGCAGGTTTGGAAGATGCTGTTGAAGGGACCTTGGCAAGTTACTGTAGTGTATCTTGTAGATGGTACATTTTGCTGCTACTGTGCATCAGTGATGGAGGATTGGGTGCCAGTCAAATGGACTGCATTATCCTTGGTAATGTTAAGTTTTTTTTAGAGTTATTGACGCTGCACCATCTATACAAGTAAAGACTATTCCGTCACACTCCTTGTAGATGCTGGACAGGCTTTGGGGAGTCAGGAGATGGGTTACTCCTGATGAGAATTCTAAGCCTCTGACATGCTCTTGTATCTACAGTATTTAAATGGCTGGTCCAGTTAAGTTTCTGCGCAAGGGTAACCCCAGGATGTTAAGTTAGGGAGAGTTACAAGCTAAATTTTCATTAAAGGATTGGAAGGGTTCCAGATGCACACTCGCCAATGAGTTCTTGTTGTAACCTAATTGTGGGGTTCAGGTAATGCCATATTTTGAATAAATGAAAATCTGTCTAAACCTCGCCTGAACTCTTGACGTCAAATTGATGCTAGAAAATCATTCCCATGTATTTAGTAATTTATATAGTGCAACATACAATTAATGTGTGATGTAATAGTTACATTGGTCATGTGATGAGAATGAATGAAAAGCAAAGTACTGTGCCAACATTACATGACCCAGAGGCACCAACTGTGGATTAGTGTTGTAAGAGTAATAGCTGCACAGCTCAAGAAGATCTAGTGAAATGCTGTAAAGTGAGTCATAGTAATGTTGAAAAAAATAGTGTTCATTAACATTATAAAATAATAAAACGCACAGAAGGATGTTATTTGGCCCATTCTGTCTGTGGCAGCTCCTTTACTATCCGATCAGTCCTATTCTCCTCTTTCCTTTCTTTTATAAATTGTTCATGGGATGGTGAGGCCAGCTGTTGTTGGCCATCCCTAAGTGCTTTTGAGCTGAGTGACTTGTTCGGCCATTTCCGATGGCAATTAAGAGTCACCCATTACTGTGGACCTGGAGTCTCACAGAGCAGATCAACTAAAGATGATGAATTTCCTTTCCTTTAAGATATTAGTGAACCAGTTGGGTTTTTACAATAATCAATAATTTTATGGTCACTGTTCCCTATGCTGGCTATTAGCTCCAGCTAGTGTGGTGGGATTTAGGTCCATATCCCCAGAGCATTAATCTGCGCCTCTGGATTAATTATCCAGTGACCTCACCACAATGCCACCATCTCTTCTATAACCCTGCAGTATTCCCCCCTCCAGGTACTTATCGAGTCTGAGAAACAAATCTTCAGGTCTTTCCATGGCTGCTTTGAGAATTTGACTTCAGTATTTAAGAGATCTGGAACTAAATAGCTTAGATCAGTAAAAGTGACTGTCAAGCTGATAGCTTCACATAAAACCCAACTAGTTCACTAGTGCCATTTAATGGGAAGAAACCTGCTGTTCTTCAGGCACCATGTTAATGTGGTTGACTGAGTGCCCCACTGAGCAAGTTACTCAATTCTTCCAAAACCTAAAGTACCACAGTGGTGGAATGAATCGACCTTTTCTGATCTTCCCACTTTATGGCATGAAATTGCTTTATTAGTAATATAGCATTGGTTAACATGACACTGTTCTTTGTGGAATTATCCTTGGATTGATCCTTATTAACTTGCCAATTGCCCTTTGGAACAGTTTGTAGATTATTAAATTGATTCCTTGATGAATATGTAACCTAGCAAGATGAGTCACTCAATGTAATTCTAATGGCAGCAATTAGACTTACAGGAAACAGTGAGACCTTAATCACCAGCATTATTCCACCTAAGGAGATCTTACTTTGTCTGGGAGTGAGAACTTCAATTACTGTTAATATATACTGTCACGCAAAGGCTTGGAACACATCACAGTTGTCTTCTGAAACAGATTGTATTGCATTTAATAGACTAGCAGGCACCATTCCAGGACAAAGCAGCTCACTTCACTGATAACCCCCAATCCACCATCAGCAGCTTGTGGCAGCAGTATGTACCATGACCAAATACTTTACTAAACCTGAACTGAATCTTAGTTGCACCCTAATTGCCTGCATTTCTGGTCACCATATTATAAAAAGAATATAGAGGCACCAGAGAGAATGGAGGTAATGTATATATTTTTCTTTTTTTTGTTCAGGGAATGGGTGTTACTGGCTAGTTGCCCATTCCTAATTGCCCTGGAGAAAATGTTGGTGAGCAGCCACTTGAACCACTGCACTCTTTGGGGTGTAGGGTCACTCAGTGCCATTAGAAGTGGAGTTCTAGGATTTTGATCCACAACAGTACAGAAACAGTTATATAGTTCCAAATTAATTTAATATGCGTGACTTGGAGAGGGTGCATCTGTTGCCCTTGTCCTTCTAGCTGGTAAAGGGCAAGGGTTTGGGAGATGCTTTCACTGGAGCCTTCATGTGTTACTGCTCTGCATCTTGTGGATGGTACACACTGCTGCCACTATGCATCTGTGGTAAAGGGAATGAATGTTGAAGGTGGTGGATGGGGTGCCAATCGACAGGCTGCTTTGTCCTGGATGTTGAGCATCTTGAGAGTTGTTGCAGCTGCACTCATCCAGGCAAATGGACAATATTGTATCAGGCTAAGCAAAGCATAGCAGACTCGTGGCATGTTTCAATATCTGAGGAGTCACAAATGGTGCTAAATATTGTACAATTTTCAGCAAAGGTCCCCACTCCTGACCTTATGATGGAGGAGATGTCATTGATGAAGCAGATGCCTGGAGCTAGGACACCACCCAGAGGAACTCCTTTTTATGAAGTGTCATTTATTGAAAAGAAACTTTTGCTATCTTTTGGATGTTGTCTTATGCCAGTTTAAATACAGTGGTGTCTTGGAAATTTAAGCTTTCCTCGTATATTGTGGCTTTAAGTTTAATAGAGAGTTGAAAATTAATCAGCATATTGATGAGCTTTAGTTCTATTTCTGAGAGTCCAAATACCCCATATTTCAGTACAATTGCAGTAGATAATGATGCTATATGTCCTATGTTCTATTATAAGGTAGGGGTGGAGGTTAGATAGACCTTAGGTTTAGGGTAAAAGTTCGGCACAACATCATGGGCCGAAGGGCCTGTACTGTGCTGTACTGTTCTATGTTCTATATGACTGAATCTCACTCAAGGTGGGAGGATGAAAATGGAGCCCAAGAAGTAGCCCTCAGTTTGAGTGATGGTGGGAGAAGAATTATTTCAACCTTTGGATTGTCGCCACCTGCAAGTTCCCCTCCTCGCCACACAGCATCCTGACTTGAAAGTATATCATTGTTCCTTCCCTGTGACTGGGTCACAACTCTGAAATTCTGAACTCCTTCCCTAACAGCACTGTGGTTGTACCTACAACAGATTGAAGTAGTTCAAGAAGATACTCAACAACATCTGCTGAAGGCTAGCAGTCCCCATATTCCACAAATAAACATGAAAAGATTAAACACTTGAAAGAACTAAAGACTACAGGGAAAGAGCAAGAAATCGAGATTAGGTTGTTGTGATGTGGAGCAAATAGAAATGCAAATACAATGGGGCAAACTGGCCTCCACCTTTGCTTGCATTTCAGTACTCAGTCTTTAAAACGTCACTGTAACAGTGGTAGTTACTTGTGCTATCCTGGGGCAGCACTTGTAATATCAATTGACTGGAGGCAATATGCCATCGCATCAGTGACGCTGTGAAATAGAGTATGAATCATTTGAGTCTGTGTAAGGGTGAATGGGGTGGAGAGCAGTGAACAAGGAATGTCACTTGTATAGCTATGTATCTTTTTATATCAAAGTAAATGTTTTCTCCCACAGGAGCTGCTACAGAAATGGATTCGTGGTAATGTTACCTTGTGTGGCAGGTCCATGTTCATTTTTGATGAAATGGACAAAATGCAAGCAGGCCTTATTGATGCCATTAAGCCTTACTTGGATTACTACGATAACATAGATGGCGTGGTGTACCGGAATGCCATTTTCATCTTCCTGAGGTAAATCAAGGTTTATTGATCAGAATTCTATTACTTTGTGTGGACCCTGTGGACATACTCAGTCACTGACTTAATCCATTGCATTATAAAATCCGTGCACTCTAATACAGGTAAGCATGAGTAGTATTGCACGTCTAAGGCAGGTTTTTTCTGATGCACTTACTCTGAACATGGTGTATAAATTGCTACAGACGAAGTTGAAAGTAATCTGGGAGAAGTAGTTTTCATGCCGAACATGTGCAGTCATGTTACAGCAACAATCGACAAAGCAAATGGAATGGTTAAAAAAAGAATTGAATTAAATTACACAATTTTTAAAAATGTATTTTAGTGTGCCAGTGTGCATCAGTGGTGGAGGGAGTGAGTGTGAAAGGCGATGGATGGGGTGCCAGGCAGGCAAGCCATTTTGTCCTGGTGGTGTGGAATTTATTGAGTATTGTTGGAGCTGCAAGTGGACAATATTCCATCTCGTTCCTGACTAGTACCTTGTAGAAAGTGGACAGGCTTTGGGGAGTCCGGAGGTGAGTTACTAAATACATGATTCTTAGCCTCTGATCTGCTCTTGTAGCCACAGTATTGGTATGGCTACTCCCATTGAGTTTCTGGTCAGCGTTAACCCTAGAATGTTGCTAGTTCAAACCACAACTTGAGAACTGTTATTTTGGGAGTACAAAAGTACAAGATTCCTTTTAGTGGTTTTACAACCTTGGAATGTCCCAGAGTGCTCTTGCCAAGTTAATTAATCTGAAGTATAGTTACTGTTCTAATGTAAGAAATACACCAGCCAATTTCCACTCAGCAGGTTCCCACCAACTGCAGTGAGATGACCTGAAAAACTGTTTTATTGATGCTGTTTTTAGGTTCAGTATTGGTCACGAATAGCTTCCCTTTTTTGAAATAGTGCAATGGTGCATTTTACATACAACTGGAAAGGTATAAATGACTTGGGTTTAGTAAGGCAGAATCTCCGACAGTGCAACACTCTCTTTATTTTGCACTGACATTTTTACCTAAACATTGTGCCCAAGCCATTGATGTCCCACCATGATAATGATGGGGTGACGTTGTTGGTTAGCTAAAGGCTGTGTTGGAGGTTGAGGGGGAATTATGCATCATTGATAAAAATCAGACAGTATCACTTGTGACTTTACTTGGGTGTATATCCTACAGATTTCCATTCTGTTAATCCTAATTTTTTTTTCCTCACTATGAACAGTAACGCAGGAGGAGAAAGGATAACTGAGATTACTCTGGACTATTGGCAAAAAGGAAACAAAAGGGAAGATATTCTTTTGAAGGACCTTGAGAGTAAAGTATCCCTTGGAGTCTTCAATAACAAGAGAAGTGAGTTTGTTTGCCACACTTTTGCTAGATTTGAAACAAATTGCATCCTGATTCATCCTGTCAACATCAGACCCCCTTCACTTAATCTCGTTATCAGGCACTCTTTGCTTACAAGTGGATATTAGGAACATGGAGACAAGAAAATTCACTAGTGTTCCAAATCTTTTATCTCACCATTAATAAAGGTACACTGGTTGTTTTCAGAGTGTAGACTGTCCCAATGCTAATCGGCTCAGAGAATCTTTTATGGCTCCCTCCTGAATGTGCATCCTCCAGTGAGGCCAATAGCCTTTGTTCATGTAGGGATTTAGATAGTAAGGGAAGGTGGCCGTCCTCAGCACCGCCTGGTCCTGTCCTTGCACTTGCATGCAGTTGAGTGCCAATCTCTTAAATTCAATAGAAGAATGGCCAAGCCCCTTTTTCTTTTGGGAACCCTGCTCTTCGTAACTAATTGCAGAGTTTCTGATGCTGTCTGCTTCAATTCAGATTGTGAATGGATTTTGGGAACGTTATGATTTGCAGGATCCAACGGTAGGTGCCTCCACTGAGTTTATTCGAGCTACTCTTTAAGAACAATGGAACTTCTCCATTCTCTCTTTCATATGGTAACTGGGTGGGCACCATTGAGCTTGAATCCATCTTGGCCAATGGGCTTCCCTTTCACCTCTTTGCCAAATTGTAAGTCAATCTGCTGTCTAATATGTGTGCCCCCCCATGCCCCTTTCAGTTGCTGTGTGAGTTGGGCAGAGATGTGCATTGATTTCCTTAGTCTTCCTTTGGCACCTGTCCCATAAGGCCATAAGAAATGGGAACTGGAGTAGGCTGTTTAGCCCCTTGAGCCTGCTGCACCATTTAATAGGACTATGGCTGATCCAACAGTCCTCATCCCTTTCCTGCATCCTAATGGTTGAGTTTCCTACATCAACAACAAATTTCATTTATACAGCATCTTTAATTAATTGAACATCCCAAGTTGCTTCATAGGCACAATGTCAAACAGAATTATACACTGAGCCAATTGGAGATAGGCTTTAGATCAGCTGACCTAAAGGCTTTGTCAAAGAAGTCTGTTTGCTTAAGAATTAAGAGCAGGCATAAGCCATTTGTTAAGACTGACACTTTCTTGCTGACTCCCATCAACCTTGAGATCAAAAATTTTTTAAACTCTTGAAGAGGGTTTTAAAGCAGAAAACGAGGAGAGGTTTTTGGAGGAATTTCCAGAACATTAGTTGCTGAAAGCACAACTAACAAGCATGAAGTAGTGGAAACTGAGAATGTGCAGGAGTTTGGAATTGTAGTGCAGAGATCTGGGAGGGCTGTGGAGCTGGAGAATGTTATGGAGATGAACACAGATAAGGCTCCGGAACAGATTTGAAAAATAAAGGATGGAAATTTTAAAGCTGAGGTTTTTCCAGACTGGAAATGTGTTGTGTAGATGGATGTGGATGAAGTTCAACGCAACTCAACGATCGAGAATCTTTGTCTGTTGACAATCAGTGGCTATTCAATCCAGGTAACTGATTCATTTTTGTCTTGGATAGGTGGGTTTTGGCATACCAGCCTCATTGACAAAAACCTGATCGACTACTTTGTCCCGTTCCTTCCCCTGGAATACAAACATGTGAGGTTGTGCGTCAGGGAAGAACTGAAAGCCCGAGGTTACGAGGTGGACGAGCATATCATGACGGAAATAGCCAAAGAAATGACATACTTTCCAGAGAAAGAAAAGATCTATTCAGACAAAGGCTGCAAAACAGTGGCCACCAAGTTGGACTTTTATTTGTAATGTGTGTGTGTGTGTGTGTGTGTGTGTTATTTTTTAAACTGGAAAATACTTTGCTTTTCTACACTGGACACTTTTATATATAAAAATAATTAAAATTGAAGCAGCCCATTGATTGGCTGCGGAAATTTATGTTCTCTGTGACTTGGGGATGTGGACACCACCTGTACCTACCTGTGGCCCCTTCCACCCAAGCTGAGTTTATCACAGGTTGTTCTTGGGGTGGTATCAAGCTGCTGTTTATGAATCGGGAGTCCCACACTTTGTTTACATAGTATGAAATAGTTGGCTGAAAATTACAATGAGACATTGCTGATCAGACCATTGCAAAACCAAATCAGATAAGTGTTGTCAATATTTTGAGTAGATATCCTTAATCTGTAACTTGCTGTTTAAATTTGTTGATGTGTTGTGACTTTACATCCCACCACCACCCAAGGAGAGACAGTGAGAAGTGGTAGTTTTTTTTTTGTCCCATTTCATTGGGTTAATCTATTTTCCGTGCATTGGATACTCAATTTCTTGTAATGGATCAGATGATCCAGGGAAAAGCCTCTTCAAAACAGACCTTTTCATTGCTGAATGACATTTTTCAGTTTTCCCTTGAGCTTGTCACAATGTTCAAGGGAGCTTTTGCCTCTATGTTTTTACCACTTGCAACGCACAGAATTCTGATGGATTTTAAGTTTAATCAAAGCCAATTAAAATAGTGGCATTCCTCACAAAGAGTGAATCTTGTGTCTGTTTTAGCAGTTACTTTTTGCTGTACTAAATAATTCCTGCAAATACCTTGGGGTAGCCTTGATGCCTCAATCAAGTGTCAGGTTATGTGAATAACCCAGTATAAAGTAAATTATACATTAAGTATTGAAACCTTTTTAAAACTGTGAAATTCTTAACCAAACTTTCCACTGATAAAATATTTTTTTCCCTAAATTGAATTTGGAAACGTCATTTTTCTAGATTGGTTTTGAATTTGGAATTTTTTGCAAATTGAATTTGTAAAATGACTTGGGCGAGGGTTAACCTCAACTAACATTCAGTAATACAAATTGGAGGCCATCTTATCAGCCCAAAGGAGCAGATTGTGAGGTCCCATTATATTTCTGTGTTTGATACAGTTGACAGTACAGCCGCCTCCTCTGAATCTGAAGGTTGTGAGTTCGAGTCCCACTCTAGTAAGAAGGGATTTAAACTTGGGACTGTTAGGTTTATAGTAATTTTTGTCAAAATTATTTCGTATAGATGTTAAATTGAGTAATAATTTCCAATTTTAGATTTGGAATGAAGCTAGATTGTGGGAATCAAGTTGTGTGAAGGTGAAAGAAACAATAATACTGTAATAACGGTGAGATGTACAGAGTATAATACTAATCAGGAATTCAAAATCTTCATTAAAAAAAACTTGCAAAACTAGTAGGAGAAAAATATAACTGAATTACTTTATTTTACAAACTTTGTGTTTTTAAATAGAGTAAGCCTAAATTTTATCTTAACTAATCAGCCAATGCGTAGAGAAAATTTGATTGTAGTGAAGAGTACCTTGTAAGTAACACATGCAATGTACTACCATCCTTTTTTCTGGTCTCCCTGCTGTCCAATCTGCAGGTTTCGCAACAGCTCCTAAGCATTACTTGGGTGGTACCTTCAACCTCTCATTGAAGGGAAGATTAACTTTCCAGATATCTGTACCTGTTCTTTGTCACTTTAGCTGGGTGTTGGTGGTGATGTTAAGAGATGCTGACTGCCACTGACTTATCAACTGGTGACTGGTGTTTTGTTAGCTCAGTTGGTTTTGACTAGAGTGTGATGTTGAATGATGCCATTGGCGCAGGTTCAATCCCCATTATGGTTACTGACTGTAATTAAACCTATTCCTGGAAGTTTCATCACAACTTGTTTCCCCCCACCCCCCAACTCCAAACAGCAATCAGCCAACACATCCATGCTTGTGACATTCTGGAAAGCAAAAACACTCCTCACCCAATCAGATGATGTTTGACTGTCACCCTATCAGCTCCAATATATTTATATACGGTGAAGAGAAATATTGGAAAATGACCAAAAGTAATATATTTTTTAAATCACCCCTTGATTTTTCTCCAGGCTTGCAGAGGCCTGGAAATTGATCTTCAATTTCTGGAGATTCCAGGCCAATCCTGGAGGGTTGGCAGCCTTAATCCCCACATTAGGCTGTGGTAGTTCATGGAGGCCTGCCTCCTTGCCTTGTCCCATGCTGACAGAGTGGTACCCCTCAAGTTACATGTAAGTAATTGTCTGTCTCGTGGAGGGATGCCTATAGTACTTTGTGGAACACCAAATGCCTTACTTTATCCAAACTTCCAACCTTTAAGTAAGATAAGGGCCCATGGTGTTAGAGGCAAGGTACTAGCGTGGATAGAAGATTGGCTGTCTGGCAGAAAGCACAGCAGGGGGTTAAAAGGATCCTTTTCAGGATGGCAGCCAGTGACTGGCTAATGACTAATGGTGTTCCGCATGGGTCAATGTTGGGACCACAACTTTTCACTTTGTACATTAATGATCTAGATGAAGGAAATGAGGGCATTCTGGCTAAGTTTGCAAATGATACAAAGATGTGTAGAGGCACAGACAGTATTGGGGAGCCTGTGGAATGATTTAGGTTAGGAGAGTGGGCAAAGAAGTAGTGGCTGGTGTACAACGTGAGAAAGTGTGAGGTCATGCACTCTGGTAGGAAGAATAGAGGCATAGGCTATTTTCTAAATGGGGGAAAAAATTCAGAAATCTGAAGTGCAAAGGGACTTGGGAATTCTTGTCCAGGATTCTCTTAAGGTAAATTTGCAGGTTGAGTCGGTGTTTAGGAAAGCAAATATAATATTGGCATTTATTTCAAGAGGACTAAATATAAAAGCAGGGATATACTTCTGAGGCTTTATCAAGCTCTGGTCAGACCAGATTTAAAGTATTGAGTGTAATTTTGAGCCCCAGGAAGTATATACTGGCCCAGGAATGGGTTCAAAGGAGGTTCACGAGAATGATCGCAGGAATGAAATGCTTAACATATGAAGAATGGTGGAGAACTCTGGCTCTATACTTGGAGTTTAGGAGGACGAGGGGGGATCTAAGTGAAACTTACAGAATATTGAACAGCTTGGACGTTAGGAAGATGTCAGAGACTAGGATGTGAGGGCACAGCCTTGGAGTAAAGGGGAAGACCCTTTCGAACAGAGATGAGGAGAAACTTCTTCAGCTAGAGAGTAGTGAATCTATGGAATTTATTGCCACAGAAGGCTGTGGAGGTCAGGTCATTGAATATATTTAAGACAGAGATAGATAGGTTCTTGATTGTCAAGGGGATCAAGGATTACGGGGAGAAAGCAGGAGAATGGGGTTGAGGAACTTATCAACCATGATTGAATGCTGGAGCAGACTTGATGGGCCAAATGGCCTAATTTCTGCTCCTATGTCTTATGGTCCCTTCAATATTTTTTCTTAAAGGGAGATGGCATTTGGAAATTGATGCGCTCTGCCCACCTTAGCTGAAGAATTTCTGTGGTATTCAGAGTGTCATCATTACCAGAGATTTGGACCCCAATGGCTTACATGGAGAAAATTTGAAGCATGCAAAAGTAATACACCAGAGCAGCAGGAATTTTGCTGGATCTCTGTCTTGCTCCATGAGCAGTAATGGTAGCATAGTGAGTATCAAGAGGCCTGGACTTGTTATGGAGACATTGGATATAATTCTACAACAGCAGCTGGAATGTTTAAATTCAGTTAATTAGCTTGGTCTCAAATAAAGAGCTAGTATCAGTAAAAATGACCAGTGATGACTATCACTATTTAAAACTAAGGGGCCACCCATTAAGACACACGTGTGACACAGTGGCTCAGTGGTTAGCACTGCTGCCTCACAGCACCAGGGACCCGGGTTTGATTCTACCCTTGGGCGACTGTCTGTGTGGAGTTTGCACCTTCTCCCTGTGTCTGCGTGGGTTTCCTCTGGGTGTTCTGGTTTCCTCCCACAGTCCAAAGATGGGCACGTTAAATTGCCCATAGTCTTCAGGGCTGTGTAGATTAGGTGGTTATAGGGATGGGTCTGGGTGGGATGCTCTGAGGGTCGATGTGGAGTGTTGGGCCAAAGGGCCTGTTTCCACACCGTAGGCATTCTATGATGAACATTTTTGTCTCCCCACACAGGAGTGAGTCACTCTCCTGTCTCTAAAGACAGTGGAAGTTGCAACAGGGTGAAAGTATGTGGGGGTAGATGGAATGTGGAGTAATCACGTTCGCTATGGTGTTGAAAGGAAGAATGGAGCCGAGTGGCCTAATTCTGCACCTTATTTGTAAAAACCAATCTGTTTCACTAATGCTGTACAGGGAAGGGAAATTCCCAACTTAACCTAGTCTGTCCAATGGCTCCAAACCCACATTAATATGGTTGTCTCTTAGCTGCGCTCCAAAACAGCCTCACAAGCCACTCAGTTGTGAAGAAGGTAACTCACCTTGAGGGAAGTCAGGGTTAGGGATTGATTACAGCAGCACTTGTAAGTGTGACAGTACTATGGGTTAGTGCACTTTCTGAAGCTACTCATTTAGCAGCAAAGCATGTGGGAGTTTGAAATTGGTAGTTCTAATCTCTCTTTCTTAACTGGCTTCTAAGACTAATAAGTTTTTCAATGTGTTTAAGTGTTATACCTCGTACTGATACCAGGCTTTTTGTGCCCAGCATATTGACCTCATGATCTTGGATAACTTGTTGGCACATGCATACGTCCCCTACCATGGCAAGACAATGCACCTACCGAAGGCTGCCGTACCATCAACCTGGGAGCAAAAGATTGCCTAGTTGTTTTTGGCTGGGTGAAAATGATCAGGAACCTTCAAAGGGGAGCAAAACGTGGCCTAAAACTAAGACAACAGAGTTCTTAGTTTCTGTTTTAAATTGTTCGACATTTTGTGAATCGTCCTGTGGTGTACAGCTTTGGTTTCTTGAAGGAATCTTCCAGCATGTTCTTCACATCAATAATTTATCCACAAAATACTATTCTTTGTCTAAGGAAGGAAGGTGGAGAAACATTCCCATGAAGTGCCTGTGGTTTCTTTCTTGGATCTGATATCTTTATGGAGTTTCTGTGGTTAAGTATGGTAAAGTTTACTAACTTTCTTGCCTTGCCTTGGCTTGGCTCACAATCGTAGCACTGTCTCCCCTTGCAATCCAATGCTGTCAATTCAACTTATGTCTCTTTTCCTGTTTATGTACAGTACATTTCAGCAGCTAGCTCTTGTCAATGACTTGCATTTATATAACTTTTTTCATAACCTTAAGCTGTCTCTAAGTACTTTACGGCTAATGAAATACTTTGAATGTAGTCACTTTTGTAAGGCAGGAGCAAATATGTATACAGCAAGTTCCCCAAAAAAAAAACAGCACTGTGCTAATGACCAATGAATCTATTTTGGTGATCTTGATTGAAGTGTAAATATTGACCAGGATACCAAAATAACACTTTCTTTTCACCACCATACCCACCTCCACCAACTTCAAAATGATATCCCATGGAATCTCTTTCAAACATCTGAGGAGACAGAGCCTGTTTAATGTCTCATCTGAAAATAGCACGTAAGTACTGCACTGGAGTGTGAACCCAGGTCTTTGAGCTCAAATCCTGCAGTAGGCTTCAAACGCACAATCTGAAGATTCGTGAAGTGAGCACAATACCTTTTGAGTTACAGCTGACAATCTAGT